TTGGAATTTTTAATAGAAATGAAAAGCATATTAACATTATTTTTGCACTAATACATAAGTGTTATCTTGCTATGAATGAAGAATTCAGTATAATATTCAAAATTTAATTTAACAGGGGGGCGTCGACAAAAGATTTTACCCAAGGGGGGTGCTGGTTGAGAAAAGGTTGGGAAATGCTGCTTTAAAGGAACAAAATGAACAAAAAGACTAGAGGGAGAACTATTCTTAACTGACATAACATTTGCCTTGATAAAGTCCCTCAGTGGATAAAACAGGTCTGCCAATAATAGTTTTCCCTCTTTTTATTCATATATATGGTTGGTATATAATTATCAGGCGTTTTAGTAGATGAGTTATTTGTTAATAAAAAAAATTGCTGTTTTGTTTCTTTCTTTTAATAAAAATATTATTTTATTTTCAGGTTATAAAAAATGTGTGTCAATCATATTCATTTATAAATGCTGTTGAATTGTTTAAAAACACTTGATAATTATGCACCAACCTGTTGATAGAAAGATAGACAACTTCATTTTATGCATTCTTCCCTGTTGACAGACAGACAACTTCATTTTATGCATCCTTCCCTGTTGACAGACAGACAACTATATTTCATGCATCCTTCCCTGTTGACAGACAGACAACTATATTTCATGCATCCTTCCCTGTTGACAGACAGACAACTATATTTCATGCATCCTTCCCTGTTGACAGACAGACAACTATATTTCATGCATCCTTCCCTGTTGACAGACAGACTAATTTATTTCATGCATCCTTCCCTGTTGACAGACAGACTAATTTATTTCATGCATCCTTCCCTGTTGACAGACAGACTAATTTATTTCATGCATCCTTCCCTGTTGACAGACAGACAAATTTATTTCATGCATCCTTCCCTGTTGACAGACAGACAACTAATTTATTTCATGCATCCTTCCTGTTGACAGACAGACTAATTTATTTCATGCATCCTTCCCTGTTGACAGACAGACTAATTTATTTCATGCATCCTTCCCTGTTGACAGACAGACTAATTTATTTCATGCATCCTTCCCTGTTGACAGACAGACTAATTTATTTCATGCATCCTTCCCTGTTGACAGACTAATTTATTTCATGCATTCTTCCCTGTTGACAACTATATTTCATGCATTACACACACACACACACACACATATATATATATATATAGTGAATAATAAATATTAAAAAAATAAAATCTTCAGACACACTGGGTTGTATATTAATATTCCTTTGTTTTTATTATTATTATTTCATTTAGGTTTCTTTTAAGTTGTTATTTGAGATAAGAGCTGGATGGATTCATGCTGCTCTGATTTCTCTTAGTCATTTTGACAGTTTTATTGGAAAGGAGATGTGTCTCCGTTATTTGGTTCTTAGGGAGTGAGTGAGTATGATGTGTGTAAGCATGTATATTGCTATGGATGTGTGTTATGATTTGGCTCATTAGTGAGTGTGTATGTGTGTGTGTATATATATATATATATATATATATATATATATATATATATATATATATATATATATATAATTTTCCTTTGACTGGTTTTCTTTTCCTTTTTTTTCTTTAGCTTTTCAAGACTTTCCTCTTTGTTTCTCACTTCTTCTAATTCCATTGAGCTTATTAAGTTGGTTTCTTGGTCAGAAAATGTAACAGATTCCAGCTCAGCAGAGATAGGGATTGGACAGATATCACACTGTGATCTTGGTAGAAAGTCATAATGGTCAGACATCCATATAAACAGAATAATAACAGATTCTAGTTGTTGTTGTTATGAACACTCATATTAGCATTGTTAATGTTGCTTTCATTACTCAAACTAAAATAGAAAACAGTTGTTGATTTAATAAATAAAATTGCTTTGTGTGAAAATTTAAGATGGCGGAGGAACTTTATCTGCATTTGAGTGAAGGAGAATAATAGTGAAGGATTAAAAAAAAAAAAGGACAAAGCTCATGCACATTGTATTTATTCTTCCTTATTTTGTTCAGTTACATCTAATTTCATTCCTTGAAAGAAATAAAAATTAAAAAAAAGACGAGGAAAAAACAGTCAACATTGCCTGAAGCCAAAGGAAAAATAATCTATTTCTGGCATCCTGAGCTTTTCAGTGAAATGGTGACATTATCTCTGACAATTATGGATTTTCTTTTTTTCTTTTTTTGTTTTGTTTCTAGAAAGACAGAGACAAAAACAGCAATAAAAATAAATAAAACTTTATCCTCTCTCATTTTATTCAGACCTTCCTCAGCGGGTTGTCTTTTCCAATATCAGCTGCATTCTGGGAGGAAAATTAACACAGTCATTTCTTGTTTCGTTATTGCATTATCTGAAATATAAAATTAATGTAAATAATATCAGACTCTCAATGCATATGGACATAGAAAGGAATTTATCTGTCTGTCAATATGTAAGAATATAAAAATGATTTTACTATCAGTACATAAGAATATATAAAATAAATTTGTCTGCCAACAAGGACGGATGCATGAAATAAAGTTGTCTGTCCGTCAACAGGGAAGAATGCATGAAATAAAGTTGTCTGTCCGTCAACAGGGAAGAATGCATGAAATAAAGTTGTCTGTCCGTCAACAGGGAAGAATGCATGAAATAAAGTTGTCTGTCCGTCAACAGGGAAGAATGCATGAAATAAAGTTGTCTGTCCGTCAACAGGGAAGAATGCATGAAATAAAGTTGTCTGAAATAATATGAATAATATTTTGCATTATAATTTCATCTAGTGTTTACTGTGGTAAACATCTGCCTTTTATAGATGCTATCAACAGATTTGATGCATGTTGTCTTTCTTTCACTCTTTTCTCCCCATCCCCACTTAACTGCCACAAACTTGAAATATTTTTCTTTTATCAAGCAAAGCAGATGCAGTCAATTTTGCTCCCTTTTGAATAGACAAGCATGCGTATATATATCTACATGCTCACACACTTTTGTATGTTGTACATATTTATCTAATTCATATTTAGATTCTCTTCCTGCTGTGAAAACAAGATAGTGTTAAATTTAATAATTCATTTCTACTCATATTTGCCAAACAGTTCTCTGTGTGAAATGAGAAATATTGGAGTGTGTCAAAAGTACTTTAATTTTTACCAACATTTGCTCCAAAGCTAATTTCCCATTTATGTCTCATTTTGTCATAATATAATTCTGCTCATCCCTTCTTTAGCACAATCATTACGCCCTGCCAATACTTCATAAATAATGAACTATTCTATTTTAATCACATGGATAGACAGAAAAGACATATCGGAGACTCTACTTGGTATCAGTGGGAAAATGAAAGCAAGAAGGGAAGATAGAAGACATTAACCCTCTTGTGCGTTTGTTTCAGTGAAATCTAAAACGATTGTCAATTTCAAATCTTTTTATTTGTACCCCCTTACTTCTTAAAAGAACGACTAGCATTCATATTTATTATTGTTATTGAAATGTTTTGTTAAAGTTGTTGAGCTCAGATATTTAGCTATGTTATTGGTGAATTTCTGTAGATATTTTATTATTGTAGAACTTGCTATGAGCTTATTCCATGATTACCTGAAGAATTAAGATTCATTGAAAAATTCAGATTGGGAAACAGAGTTTACACATGTTTTAAGCCATCTTTATGATTCTGCTTGTTCCATAGTTAGCACTTACCTTATATCTTGTCAGTAGCTCTTAAAAAAATGGACTATTGTGTTTTAGCCACAAAGACAGACAGAAAGACACAACAGACACACTGATTTTAATGAGAAAAAGGAAGCATAACACTCTCATGTGTCTAACATGTTGACTCCGAGAAGTCAATTTTGAAATCCAACTTCAAACGCCAACTTCCCACACCGACATCACCCATTTACTACAGGGTGAAGAAGCCCCAACATGTGCTACATGCCAAGATTTACGGTAAAACATATATTGCTATACTGTGTAGACTTTGACCCAACTTGAGCAAAACATTACCAAGAGAACAATTTGAAAGACCTTTTCAACAAAACAAAACCATCCAAGTTATTATGCTTTCTAAGAGAAGTGGGATTGTACTAAAAAATATGACTAACTGAATAAAGATATTCCAACTATATGCACCTACAACATTTAGTCCTGTACCAAACTTATTCTACAAGCAATAATTATTATATCTCCACAAATTTATTCTAAAACTTTATCGGCATTAAATGATTCATTGAGGTTGATGTGCTGTAAAACAAAATAAACATCAAACTTCAACTTTATAATAGCTAACATAGGCAATAAAAAATTTATACGAGTTGATTTATAGCTTCAACTGAAGTGTTAACATTGTTTTCACACAAAAAGTATCACTGCGAATAAACTCGTTATTGGCGTGATATAACTCTTGATTGGTGTCATAATAAAAACTCCTAACCACTAGATAACTGATGCAGATGGTGTAATTGTTAGTGACTCAGAATCTGAAATTGGTAAGTAGAGTTTGAATTCCAGCCAATTTCATAGCATTCACTTTTGCATGGGCAATATTGGACAGCTATGGATTTAATATCCGGGCAGACTATGCTTTCTAACTGTGATTGACAACCTGTGTAGGAGTAGGCCAACACTGAATTCAAAATTGTGTGTAGCTCATTCCAATAGTAGATAGATTTGTACTTCTTTTTTTTTCTATCTTGTATTCTCTAACACTTGGCATCTCTTTGCATCTTAGTGGCTTTATTGTCTTGCTTTGGCTGAAATGATTAAAAACAAATGTGGGTATATGAAATGTATTTATATTTTACCAATCTTCGCTCCAAACCTTATTTTATATTATTTTGGATTGTAGGAGGTTCTTGACAGTACCTGGTGTTTCCAGGCGTTCCATGATCTAAGTACTGACTGGGCTTGACTCTGCCTAACTTTGACCATAGACATGCAATTTAGGGAAAAGGTACTTTGAAATTGAAAATAAATGATACTTTAAATCAGAAAGACACAGTTGAATATTTGGGGATGCATAATGAGAAAAGTGGTCTTATTTCTTGTTCTCTCTCTTCCCTTTCTTTCATTCATTCATTTGTTCATTCTTTTGCTCGTTCGTTCGTTCTTTGTTTCATTTTTCGTTTGTTCTTTTGCTAAGTCTTTCTTTCATTTTTTTCTATCTTTGGTTTTTCTTTCCATCTTTGGTTTTTCTTTCCATCTTTGGTTTTTCTTTCCATCTTTGGTTTTTCTTTCCATCTTTGGTTTTTCTTTCCATCTTTGGTTTTTCTTTCCATCTTTGGTTTTTCTTTCCATCTTTGGTTTTTCTTTCTATCTTTCCTTTCGTTTTTTTTTTTATTCCTTTCGTCTTTCTTTCGTTTTTTTTTTTTTATTTCTTTCATTTTATTTCTTTCTTTCATTTTATTTCTTTCTTTCGTTTCTTTTTCTTTCTTTCGTTTCTTTTTCTTTCCTTCGTTTCTTTTTCTTTTGTTTTTTCTTTCTTTCTTTCATTCACTCTTTCACTTGTTCTTTTGTTTTTTTTTTGTTTTTTTTTCATTTGTTCTTTTTTTCTGTATCCTGTCTTTATCAGTACTATTCAGTTGAATGTTTTGTTTAATGGTGGATACAAGTATTGAAATTTTGGCAATTAAGAAGCATTATTTTAATGTGAGCCTCTAATATTAATATATATCATATACTCATCAGTCAGTGGAATGTTTTGTTTCATATGTAATAATTGTTGGATACAAGTCTTGGGATTCAGGAAATTTGATGGCACTCTTTTTTAAACTTGGCCTTTGGATTCCTATTGTAAAAAAAAAATGTGCTTCCTATGGATTTCTATCATAAGAAATTATCTCCTCGGAATTTATGAAGACACTTTTCATATTTCCTAAGTAACTATATGTGTAATCATTAGAGTGAATGTGAAATGTGATTGGTAAATCCTATCTGTGATAGCATATATTGCTGTCTCTTGTGACTCCAACACCATATAACACCGTCCTGGGTATGACGATAAACTACATCCGTCTCTTGGGTAGGACGATAAACTACATCCAACAGTAAGGCCTCTGATCAGGAGGTTTTGAGGAGCGTGGAACCACCTCTTAATTGTTGGTGCTCCCAGGTTTGCCCTGACCTGGGGTGGTGGCACCTGTTAGGATGCTGGTGTTCCCAGGTTTGCCCTGACATGGGGTGGTAGCACCTGTTAGGGTCCCAGCTATGGGTAAATAGTTAACACTGAAACTGGGGTAAAAACATTATCAAAATGTAAAAACAGGTTTTAATACCAGAAATACTTTGTAAAAAAAAAAAAAAAAAAAATTATTTCCAGCAATAAATATTTGAAGGAAAAAAAACTATTATGAGCTACACATTTTTGAGGAAAAAAAAATATTACCAGCAATAGTTTTTTGAAACAAATTATTACCAGCAACACATTTTTGAAAAAAAAATTATTACCAGAAATAGATTTTTGACAAAACAAAATATTACCAGCCATGAAAATTTTGTTGGCATTAAATAACTTATTGGGGTTGATATGCTGTAAAACAAACCAAACCATATAACAACCAGATAATGTGTGGTATTTTTGTTGTTGTTGTTTCCATGTCTTGCTGTTTCTTGTTTTTACAAGTATTTTTTGTATATATAAATGTAAGGGGGTTTCTAAATATTTTGTCAGAATTATAACAACCCTACATGGTGTCCATTTAAATTTCAAAGATGAGGAACTATTATTATTTTTACACTAATCTAAATCTATTTATTTATTTTTTTTTTTTAAGCATTTCACCCCAAGAAAGCTGGGAAGCCACTAGAATGCAAGGGGTGATAGAGGAAAGGATGGGGAGAAGGATAGTGGATAGATCAAGGCAACTGGAGATGTCAATTGACATTTGAATATTTGGAGATTATAGCTATCAGGGAGACAGAAAAAAGGGAAGGGAGTTCAACAGGTGAGAGGTGTGAGATATGAAGCTATTGGTGTAGAAGAGACGGCTACATTTAACAGTTTTGACAATGAAAGGGTGAGAACGGGATGCCAGCCTCGTAGGACGCTTGAATTCATGGAGTCTGGGAACCAGCAAATGCAGCTCATTGGCACAATTACCATGAAAGTATTTGTAAAAAAGACAGAGAGAGGCAACGGCACGTCTGTGAGAGAGTGACTGCAGACAAGATGCCAGATCAGGGCCAATTACATTGCATATCTGTCTCTGGATCTTATCAAGAACCCCAAGGTAAACAAAAGGGGCACAAGACCATATATGGCAGTAATACTCCATGCAATGGCGAATGGTTGATTTGTAGATTTGATGGATCGATTACGGGGAGAAAAATTTCCTGGCGCATCACAGGGAGCCAACTTTCTTTGCGGTGGACGAAACAATTGACTTGGTCTTTGTTCCATCTCAGGTCAGCAGACCAAATCTTCTGATTAGAACAGCTAAGATCAGGATTTTAGTCTTATTAGAACGAGGCATAATAAAGAATAAGCATGTGATAATAATAATAATAATAGTGAAAGGCATTGTTACATGCTTTTCTCTCGTCTCTTCTTTAACATAACCACTAGGCTACAACCTGCAGATGGAAGGAATTTTGCAATAATGGGTATTTGTTGGTTTCATGTGGTCTTTGATGTGCAGTTTTATGTCTCCATTTTGATTTTCGTTTTGTGCTTTTCCCCTCTCATACTTAAAAAAAAAAAAAAAAAAAAAAAAACTACATGCAAAGTATGGAAGGCAGGAGGAAACATAATTCCAAGAGAAAACCAAGAAAGAAAGTGGGTTAGTCATGAGAATTTGTAGATAAATGGAATATTGATTTTTTTTTTTTTTAATGTTTACATCCGTAAAACCTTATCTTGAAATCAAAGACAAAGAATATATTTTTACCCTCTTTTTTGGAAATCAGATAACACTCCCTTGCCCTCTGTATATGTCTATATCTGTCTTTCTCACTCTTTCATGCAGACACACATACATACATACATACATACATATATATATATATTAGAGTAATAGTGAGAAATATCTGCTTCAGAATTATGTTGAAAAGTTTTCCTTTTGTCTTTATTCACATTGTCTACAGATATATATTTTATTTATATCTGAATTTTTATATGCACACACCATATATATATATATATATATATATATAAATATTGGACTCTCCTATCGTTCACCATTTTTTCTTAGAAAAGAACATCCAGACTACCTTCATCATATCTGGAACATTTGTCATAAATATTTTTGCCATAGGAAAACTCGCCGTAGGTAACTTTGCTATATAGGATTTTTGCCGTAAGACAATTTTGCCGCATTTTTTTTCCGATACCCTTATCTTGAACGTCACTTTTGGAGTAATGTTCAATTTAATATTCAAAGTACCTTGTTATCAAGTATATATGGATGCCTTTTTTACAGTGTCAAACATCCAAAAAGAAATTAAAAGTAAACATTTATTTAAAAAATAAAAGACTAAAAAAATATCAAATTAACAGAGAAATAATTTAAAATGTGTGCAAATTCCAAGCAATGCTTCGTAAATAATGTTTTTTTGTGTTGGACTGTAATGAAGCATTTTCCACTGAAATCTTGCATTGATATCAAAATATATTTTCTTCATTTGCACTGCATCTCCTTGATCTAAATCACACTTTTTTTTGTTAATGCTGCTTACTTTTTCAAATAGGCAATTAGTTTCCACAAATTTCGGTTCGTGTTAGTATAACTTCGCTTATTAAAATGTTTAAATCAAAATAACAATAGTGTGAGCCAGATATACTTGATAAGATACTTCGCATCTGAAAAAAAAAAAAAATGAAGTGAAATTGTTTTACAGCAAAGATCCTAGACAACAAAGTTTTCTATAGTGAAAATTTCTGAGGCAAGTTTTCCTACAGCAAATATGTTTACAACAAATGTTCCTAGAGCCTACCTTCACATATATTATTTGATTATAGGGGCAAAGTTTTGTGCAGAAACAACCATGCCGTAAGGTCTCCCAATGACCCTTGTTGGGTTTTGAATTGATAGTTGTCTTTCTACTGTTCTGGTGGCCAACCAAGTCCAAAGAGCCCTATCTGCCCTACTCTTTAACTCATATCTAAGGGGAGACAAGATGGATTCATACTTTCCCATGGTTATTTTATGCATAAGCAAATGTGATGAACTCTAATGGAATTTGAACTCTGCTCTTCAATTTCTCATTCTGAGTTACTATCCATCATGCCACCTGCACACATTTGTGCGATCACACACACACACTCATTCAGTTATGTACTTGGGCTGAAATCCCACTCTAATATGTATTCAATTAAAAACCACTAAACTGCTTCTGTTAAGCTTTTTATTGCATTTTTCTTAAATGCAAACAAGAGACATCTTTTGTAGACTGTGTAGAAATTATTTAAGCCCATTTTAATGTGAACATTTCAGTTTTTCATGTTTGAATTTTCTGATGAATCTTGATTCTTAAGTTAAGGATTGAGAAAGCTCATGGTGAATTCTATGGTAATAAAATATCCATAGGAATTCCCCTATTGCATTGGTAAATATTTGAGCCTAACAACTTTAACAAAATATTGCAATAGCAATCATAAATATGAATGCTGGTTGTTTTAAGGAGGTAAAAATGAAAAGATTTGAAATTGTTAACTTTTTCCATTTAACTAAAGCAGCTGTTAAACACTTCTATCTTCATTTCTTTGTTTCTTTCATTTTCTCACTGTTATGGTGAAACACACCTATAGACTCTCCCACCTAAGATAAGTAGGAGTAGTAAGGAAAACGAAGGTCAGTCAATGTCGGACGACAGTCGAATACGAAAGTATCAGTGACCACAACAAGATTACTCTGCATAATACCTATTATATAAAGTTCCTAATGTTTTGTACATCGAACCTATTTTAGGACCAATTTAGTACAAATACAAGCCTCCACTGCAAAATCACTCCACAACACTCACTAAAACCAAGTAGTGTTGTTTTCCCTCTTTCAATGGGATCAAAATGGAATAGTTTGTTATTGATGGTATGCTGGCAGAAATTTGTTAAACAATTCTATCTTCCCTTATTTCTTTTTCCTCCTTTCATTTTCTCACTGAAACCAAGTAGTGTCTTTTTCCTTCTGTCTAGGATCAAAACAGATTAGTTCATTATTTATGAGGCATTGGCACAAGCAAGTAAGGGAGGGACAAGTACAGTTATAATAGAATGATTGTTGGTTCCAAGTGCATTTAACTAATCTATTAGCCAGTTTCAAGAGTTCTGGATGTTCTATTGTAAATGGTATGTAAGATGCTAAAATATAACATCTTTAATTTCCAAATAGTGCTAGTACATTTTGACCATGTTTATACTTGATGCCATTAAGGAAAGGTGTTTTTTTTTTTTTTTTTTTTTTTTTTTAAGATTTTACTATCTGTGAAAATCTTAACAATTGTTTTGTTTTTCAATTTTTTTTTTTAATATATGTCCCCACCACCAATAAAACATACTTTTTTCCAAAAATGTCAGGTGATAAAGCTTAAGATATAAAACAATTATGACAAATATATGCT